GGGGGCTATCTTTTGCACATGTACATGCAACTTCCTCAATGGGGTTCACTTACCAAAATGGCTATCATATGTAGATGCCATGTGATGGTCATGGTGACGATTTGGTCCTTGTCCCTTCAGGCCTACCAATTACACACAAGGGTCACAAAGTCCCTTGGCCTACTACCCTGGGCATCTGTCAGACCTCATCAAGAGATAACCCTGCTAACCTTTCTCAATTGTGTTATCTGCCCAGGTATCATTGGGTTTTAGAACTCAACTCGGCCTAGCTCGTCCAGCCTAGTTTGAGTCTTGGCATCAGTATTACCAACTTCAACCCTTCTAGATCACACTCCCACTGGAGTTCATTGTTCCACTATCATAAAATTCATTAATGCTATTGTAAGTCCTTTAAATGACCACAAAAACCCAACATCCTAAGAAAACTTGATGGCTTCCTACTCTCGAATGCTAGGGAGACCATAATGCCCGCCTTACCCAAGACCACGTCCAACCACAAGCCTATCCTCCTAGACACCCATCTGCTCCCAAGACCAAACAAACCTTTTAGATTTGAGCTTCATTTGATGGAGGAAACTGATTTTACACAAAACGTTTGCCAATGGTGGACTTCCTTTAGCGTCTTTCATTGGGCTGGTTTCCAACTCACCAAAAACAGCTGTGACGCCTAAAGTCCTCTCTCAAACTTGGAGAAAGTCTGGCCACGATCCTAGATCTCTGATTTTGTCTCTCAACTCCAAAATTGATGAATTGGATTCCTTAAAAGAATCCAAGCCTTTGTCTAAGACCGAACAAGCTCAAAGACACAAATCTAGAACCAATCTCTCAATAGCCCTGAAATAGCAAGAAATCTACCGGTACCAAAGGTCTAGAGTCAACTGGCTCAGACATGGAGATAGACATATGTCCTTTTTTCATAAGTATGCCCCTCCAAGAGAAGAAACAATTCAATCACCCAAACCTCTATTGAATACAAGCCCCTAACGCATCAAAAAAATCATTATTGTTATATTCTCATGGCCTCAGGGTCCAAAACCTAAGATGGTAAACATGTCTTTCAACACGCTTACACGTGACTCTGCTTCGATAAAGCATCTCTTCCTAGAGACCGAAACCAAGCAAGCTACATATGAACTTACTCAAGACAAAGCTCATGGATCTTTTGGCCTTCTTTCATGAATTCTACCACAGAGGCCAACTACACAAAGACAAGAACTCCATGATCCTTGCACTTGTCCCTAGAGTTGAAAGTGCAACGAAGATGAGAGACTTCTGCCCTATTAGTCTTCTGAACTCTTATAAAATCCTCACCAAAGTTCTCACCTCCAAACTAAAACCTTTGTTAGATAAGGTCATATACAAGTCCCAGTCAGCTTTCATGGTTTATGGGAAAGTTCAGACGGGACCCTGCTAGCTCACGAGGCAATCCATTCCAGACATCTCACAAGCAAGAAAGGATTTTGCCTGGGAAAATTCCTATTACCATTCCGACCACTTGTCTTAGACGAGATACATTCCAGAATGGGCTTCAGTTACAGATGGGGAAGCTGCATACATGGTTGCATTTCCGAACACAGCATTTTGGTTCTCATCAATGGGTCACAGGAAGGTTTTCTCATGGCCTCAAGGGGAATGCCACAGGAGACCCCCTCTCCCTCTTCCTCCTAGCGGTTAGAAGAGAAGTCTTCTCCCAATCCATGCTAGATTATTCAACAGAGGTATCCTGAGCGGCTTCAAGATTTCAAGACGCAATCCCACAATCTCCCACCTACCCTACACAAATGACACTTCCAATTTTTTCCAGGCCTTTCCAGCCCAATTAGACAAATATGTAGTTCTTTTCTCAGGAATTTCAAAAGAGCCGTAGGTAAGAGAGGTTAACATGTCAAAGATCAGGACGCTAGGGATCTGTATGACCAACGAGGAAGTTTGTGCCTCGGCACAACATCTTGGCTGTGAAACATAGTCACTCCCCTCCACTTATCTTGGCCTACTGCTTTGCATGGGGATACCTAGAAAGCGCATTCGGGAGCCAATCATGGAAAAGTTCAAGGGGAGGCTAGCAAACTAGTAAAACCGGTATCTCTCACTAGGAGGAAGGATCACCTGATTATGCAACCCTAGCCAACATCCCAATCTGTAGCAGGTCGCTATTCCAGATGACATCCTTTATAGTTTCGAACTTGAAAACCTCATGTGAAGTTTTCTGTGGTCTAGGGCCAAGGGCAACCATTAGCAGCCCCAAATCAGTAGGGGACTAGGGATTGGAAGGCTGAGACAATGCAACTAGGCCAGTGGTGGAAGTTTGCTGTCAATAGGTCCTAGCTGTGGGAAGAGGTCACCACAACTGAATATGGCATTGACGAAGACGGCTTGCTCCAATGCCCTTTACAAAGATCCTCCAGAGCTTGGACCTATATTGCTAAGTGTAGCCAGACTTTCGAAGGATCAATTAGGTTCTTGGCACAAAAGGGGGACAGAATCAGGTTCTCAAAACAGTGGGAGACTTCGAGTTAGGAAGCAGATGGTCTCGGCTCCTAGCGATAGCAACCAATAAGGATACCTCCATTACGGACTCAGTAGAACCTCAGGCTGGTAGTTTACTTTGGTGCCCTACTTTAGACGAGCCCTCACGGTATTGGAGAGCGAAGCACTGCAGCAGTTTCTCCTTTTACTCCTACAACTTTTTGTGCCTCTAGAAGGAAAGGATTAACTGGTGTGGATCCCCACCCCAACAGGTTCTTTTTTGCTGGGTTCCTTCCACTCCACTCTCCTGATGGCCCTCCTCGCCCCTTCCTCTTCACCAAAATTTGGTCCACCCCAGTACCACACAAGGTCCAAACCCTCTTATGGACCTTTAACCCACAGCAGGGTGTTTACTGCCGATCAACTTCAAAGGAGAGGGATGCACCTCCCAAGCCACTGCATCATGTGCATCCAAGAGGAAGAAAATATCAACCACCTTTTACTCCAATAGGAAGTGGCCAGTTTCCTTTGGTCCTCCCTTCTTCAATCAATGGGGCTCCATGGAATCATTGCACAGTCTGTAACACAACTCATGACTGCTTGGATGTCCCCACCTTTCGTCAAGTTCAGCGTTCTCCTTTGGTCTTGGAGGCTCTGGAAGGAAAGGCATATCAAGATCTCTGGCAGCCATCTTCTATCAAATAACAGATGACACCACTTCCTAGGCAAAGTGTCTACCATACCTTAAAAGTCTCAATTCCAAGGACTATAGGATGAATTGGCACAATATTATAATGTTAGCCCCTAGAGCTCTTAGGGACGAATCTCTTTGGATCCCTCCATCCCTGGGTTCCTTCAAGCTAAATGTAGAAGGTTCTTCTGTCAGTAGCCCAGGCCGCTCTGGGTGTGGGGGCAGCTTGGCCAGCTCTAAAGGGGTAATCCTCTCTTTCTCAGGGTTCCTAGGACAAACTGATTCCATTACAGTTGAGTCTATCGCAATTCTAGAGGGAAGTGCTCCAATTCTGTTTTGCTGGTGTGGAATCTTTTACAGTGGAAGGGGAAGGTAGGAGTGCCATTACTTGGGCCGCTAGGGGTGGCCAACCTCTGTGGAGACTCGCTCACATTTTATACCACATCTATTTGCTTTGCAGGGACTTCCCAGTCACTGTTTGCCACATCCCAAGAGCGGCCAATCACCGTGCTGATTTTCTGGCTACGGAGGGTGCTCGAGGTGACTCAAGGACAGGCAGAATTTCAGCGGCTCTCTCTCCACCCCCACGAAGCACGAGCAATTATCCCAGGGTGTGCGCATCTGAATTTGTTTCATATACACCTTTTGCTACTCTCCACCTTCCTCTTTCTCCAACTTTCTTCTTCTACCCCCCTTCCTTTTCAGTCTTTATCTTACAGGCTATTTCTATCATAGGTGTCTCCACCTGTTTTTGGGTACTTGAACTCCCTTAGAGGGTTGCCAGTTTTTGTAAAGCATGAAGATTTTGGTTTTTCCTTATGTTAAGAAACTATGCTGTGGGTTGCCATATATCCTTCCCTACCTCTCTCTTTCTTATCTCCCTTCTTTTCTTTTCTCTCTCTTTTGTTGCCCATGCCTTGTTAAGTACCAATTTATAGGCTGCCAGCAAGGAGCACGGGAGACTTTTTCTAATTTTGGTATATATTAATACAGTACAGTCAACCATTTCTCAGAAAAGGATGGGGGGAAGAAACAAATTCATGCCCCTTATATGTAGAGCATGGAAAACTAAGCTCCAAGAAAATAAAGAAGTAGGCATAGGGTAAAAAAAATTACTAGAAAGGCACAGAAACAAAATATTCTTCTCATGAATAAAATTTATTTCCTCTTTTGAATTCAGATCACTAGCTATCCATGTCATCCATACAGTTTCCACTGCTGATAAATCCAAATATAAATTTGATTCTATAATACCTGTTTTTTTTTTTTAGGTAAGTTAGTATAATACCTGCTTTTAATTAACTAGATTTCAACTAAGTTTCAATGTAAAGACAAAACAGCTAACTTAACCAAATAAAATAACCATTTACATGCATAACACATCTACATTACTACACCACCTAATAATCCTCCATGATAGATGTATACACAAATCCTTCTTAAGGTCTTAAAAATGTCCTTCATTCGACTTTTAGGTCTGTATAATGAACCTTACACTACATACCAAAGTATTTTTATTGTATATGAAAAATGAATACAGAATTGCATCCATAATAGATCACGTGATAACACACCAAATAAGTGGAATGAAGAGGGCAAACACAAGGAAAGATTTCAACTAAAATTCATCGAAAACTTATTCATGATGACATAGATACATGTACGTAAGCACCACTCATCTAATAATAGAGGTGTTTATCAAGATATAATGAACACAATTGTGTGACAAATGGTGAAGTCTCAATAAGGTAAAAGACAAACGGGATGTTGGAAATGTATCCATCAAATTTCTTTTGTCAATAATATAATAGTACAATAAAAGAAAAAAATAAGGCTATTTTACCAATGGATCCTCTCCAATTGGGTCTCTTCCTCCATTTACTTCCAAAATTCTGCATATATCCTTATGCCCGTAGAGTTTGGCATCTGTTAAAGCCTGAACAGTTACAACAATATAGAGTGAAAATCCAGCAACATCATTTGTTACTTGATATTAAATTGAAGAAGCTAACATGAACGAGTGTACCTTAACTTGCCAGCACCAGTCAAAGAAAATGTTAAGCCAAGACAAGACTCATATGCTTTCTTTTCAAATTACACAAATTCAAGCACATGGGAGCAGTTAATACCTAAAACGAGAGGCCTCGCCATTAAATTAATGATGCAAATCCCAAGTCTCATACAATAAATTTATTATTCTGTGAACAAATAATAATGTGATGCATTAATGTCATGATACTTCTTTGCACCAATGATATAAGACAATCCATGTTTTCCCAAAGTTACCATCAACTATACTAATCAATGAGAAAATATCACAACATGCAAGGTTTGGGAGAGGCAGATTTTCCAGTTTACTAGTAGATCGTTGGGGTTTGTCACCTTTAAATGCATGCACACTTGGTCTTTGATTAAAGCTAAGATTTATTTTCCCCATTCATGTGTCTCCATGCTTTATATTTATGGATTACTCCCAGTTTGAGTGTGAGATGCTCTACTTAGGAACCTAGAGCTGGGCTTGCCTAGGGGCGGGCCTCTAACTAGAAATAGTGTCGTCCATCGCTTTTGCCTTGGCATGCGACTAGGCCTTAGCTAGATAAGGGAACCCGGATGGTTATGTTTGGTTCTATGATGGGCATCCCTAAGAGGGTCCACAGATATCCTATTGAGATGAGCTGGGTCCAGGATAAATGTTGTTTGGCTGGCCAGGAAACAAAACGAGCTTGTGTGGTGTAGGATGTATAGGTTATTGTAAGGACAACTGCCTAAAAAGCTCAAAATGGAATCCTACACAGCATGCATGTTGCCTCGGATATACATGATCCAGGAGTTTTACTGGGTCCATGTGACCATCAGCATGCATGTGCCAGAGTGAGACTCCCGTGCAAGGAGGAAAGCTGGGAACTGCTATGCAACTGTTTTTGGTCTGTGCACTAAACCCCTAAACTCGTCCGCGTGGAGTGAATCTGGTAACCACTGCTATTTGTGAACTATAGCACTCGTATGTTAGCCAGCTTTGATAGGGCAATCATGAGTTCCTTGCATAGGAGACATGGAATGCTTGGTATAAGGATATAGTATCAGTGCTAGCACACTCTTCCAGTTGTTTCTCAAGAAGTATACCAAAGGTACATTGAGGAAAATAAAATATTTTTATTTTCTATATTTCACCACCTTAATATTGTGTAATGAATTTTTATTTAATGAAGGGATCTTTTGAAGAAAAATGCTTTTTTTAAAACAAGCATATTCTTGGTATTATTCATAGGAACCAAGATAGAGCATACTATACACACGCATATGGCTCACTCTGGGACATAGTTCTATGTCCATGGGAGGGGGGAGATAAAGGAAGGGAGAGAGGGAGAGAGAAGCCATAAGAAATGAAGAGTGAGAGAGAAAGTGAAACCACATAGAAAAGAAGAGAGACATAGACATAAATGCAAAGGAGGGAAAGAGACTGTCATAGATGTGGAGAGAGGAAGTGTACTAAATGCAAGAAAGAGAAACATCTGTTGAAGAAAGAAAACGGACATGTATTAGAGAGAGAGCCATAAATGTGATGGAGAGAATAAATGAGATGGGTGGGGAAGAGAGATAGAGGAATAAAAATAAGGAGAGCAATAAAATAAGTGTGATGGAGAGAGAAAAGCACGCGTATCTGTGGGGGCGAGAAAGAGAGTGTCATAAATGTGGAGAGTCATAAATGTGATGGAGAGAGAGTTAGAGAGCGCAATGAAGAGAGGGGATGACATCTCTCTCTCTTTCTCATATTATATGGGGGCATGAAATTTCAAACTCTCTCTCTCACTTTCTCTCCTCCTCTCTCTCTCTCTCTCACACACACACTGCATAGTAGTAGTAGTAGTATAGTACTACTCTTCACTTCTCTCTCTCTCTCTCTCTCTCTCTCTCTCTCTCTCTCTCTCTCTCTCTCTCTCTCTCTCTCTCTCTCTCTCTCTCTCTCTTTTTCTTTCTTTCCTTTGCTTTTTTAAGTCAAGAAGCCCACCTAGGCAAGCGCCAAGGAACATGCCTGCCTAGGGCCCCTTTGCTTTGGAAGGCTGCTTGGACCACCTAGTGGCCATAAAATCTTTTATGGGTTAATAAAATCTTATAGTGAATTCTAAATCAGATTGGAGTTTGTTAAGAAATCAGATTGGAGTTATGGAATCCAATTAAGAGTTAGAAGTTTCCCAGGAAGCTTTTATTGGATTCGACATATAGAATTGGGAGAGTATTGGTATTAAGAATCCTCCTAATGGTGCATTATCCACCATTGGTTCAAGATGGCTGAGATTAGCCTTCTCACGCCAGGATCTCCCATAGACTGCATTATATAAAGGATGGTGCAGTTTGTATAGAGCCTAGGCTCTAAACAATCAAATTAGAGCCTACCTTCAAATAGTATTGAGAAATGTGATTTCAATACTGGAAATCTTTTTGATAGCCTTCAAATATATTTTCATTTTTATTTATAAAGTTTAAAGCTTCAAAAATAGTGTAGATCGAGAGATCTATGAAAACTTGAAAACCTTGAAAATTGACGGTCCAAAAATGCGTTACAAAATACACTATTTCCAAAACTTGAAATCCATTTTTTTCTCATGTCCATGCATCTTGATGTCGATATGATCAATTTGAGGATATTTGGGGTAACAAAACAACCTCTTCTAGTAAAATTTTTAAGGTAGGCTCTAATTTAATTGTTTAGAGCCTCGGCTCTATATAAACCTTTCCCTTATATAAAGGGTATATACACTTTACCCGTAGACTGTGCTATATAAAAGGTATCCCACCCTTTATGGCATAGATGATTCTCTAACTTTTAGAAATATCACCACATGAGGAAACCTAGGTTCAGGTCAAGTTGGAGACTGAGAAAATAGAGAAGGGGACATTCAAAAATCAAGGTTTTGGGTTGAGAGATACAAAATAGAGAAAAAAGCGAAGTCCATGCGGGCTAGGGCTAGAGTTTGTTTATCTTCCATCGCTTAGGGTTGAGAGATCAAAGAGAAAAAAAAACCTACAAGCTGCAACTTAACAATTGTTTTATTCACCCAAAACAGTGAGGTATATCTTCCTCCCAGAGGGTTTTGGTGAGAGAGAAAGAATAAGGTGAGCATGTGCATGGGGACCAAGTGAAGCATTAAGAGTTCTTCCAAGCTGTTTTCTGTGAGAGATCTAAAAGGGCCTCCAATAAGGAGAGCTCTTGCTTATCACATGCATATTCTGACAAGATCAACAAGCTTCATCACCTACAAAGTGATAATTCCAAGAAAACCTTCATCATCGATAGATTTTAGTTACTAAACCCGTAGTACCATCAATAAGAAAAGAATGCAAAATGTGACCTTGTTAAAATCTCCATTACCAACAAGAATTCTTATAAAATACATATCAACTGGAAAGAAAACAGATATGGTTGGAAGGAAAGTTCCTAAGCTTTTAATTGGCCTCATGGTGGAGCAGTCAAAGTATCAGCAACCATGTGGAAAACATGGACATGTGCATCTGCCCCTGATTGAGAAACCTATGTTAGAAAGGCCAACTTCAATATTGGCCTTTCAGACATGACATGTCCATATCTCATCAAGTAGAGGGGGAGAGGGGATTATTAAGTAAATTTATTTACCTTATGAGTGAAATTCAAGGAAAAAAGGGTAGTAGAAGTTTTTGAGTTTCAAAATGGGGGGCATGCATGTCGCATCCTTGATATGTTGACTTGTACCGAGCAGTGTTACATAGACACCGACCCGGGTGTTGTATCAAGTACGTATGTCGGGTGTCTAGTACCTCAGCCCAAAAAATCCAATACGATAACAACAAAAACGTACAACCATTATATATAAACATAATTTATGATAATAAATCAAAATTAAAACAATCAAAGATTTAAAAACTAAAACTATAAATTTATTATTTACAAGGAAAATTAATGACATGCCATTATTTTATGCAAAAACATTATTTTGTACAATATATGTTGAACATCTTCCACAATTGCATTGGTCGAACCATTTATTATTTTATATATTTATTGTGGTGTGAGTTTGAATCCACCAAAATGCAATATATATGTGTGTGTGTGTGTGTGTGTGCGTGCGTGCGTGTGTGTGTGTGTGTGAGAGAAATTATATATATAAACTTATCTACGATAAGTTAAAAAAAGAATCCTACCAGAATAAGAACTTTAGTAAAAATAACTAGAAACTTTTTTTTGAAAGAAATTGGTACATATGCCATAAAAATAATTTAAAATCAATGGATTTTTGAAATAGACATGAAAATGTGACAAGAATTGAACATCAAAAAGTAAATAATTATGTAAATATTTTGAAAATAAACAACAAATGCAAAATAACATCCTAATGTATAATTTTGATTGAATATTTTATAGTCTAATGACAGGTTCATAAAACATGCCATGTCTATCTCCAACTAAAAGTCCAACTCATTTGTTATCTTGTTTTTTTATAAAAATCAAGTAGAGAGATGAATTGAAATGAGGGAAGTTAAACAAAAAAAAAATCAAATCCTAAAACTATTTCCAAAAGAAAAATGAAGTCCAACAAAAATATTTTAATTAAATAATTATATAAATATTATTATCATATATGTGCCATTAGCTAGTAGGGACAATCTTTATTTGAAAGTCATTATCCTATTCTTCTAATATCCTCACTCTACATAGCTAAGTTAAGAAGATGCATCCACTAGATATATATTTTAAAATGAGGCAACACTTATCAGGTTGCCAGAAAAGTTGTCATAAGAAATACTCCAAAGAAAATAAAAATTAGATAGGAAAGACATGGAGAATTTCTCAGGGTCTCACAGTTCGCTGCCAACGATCTTTAAGATTAACATTGGCCTTGTATAATAGAAGTAACTCGATAATGGAAGCATGTCCCTCACTGGCTGCAAGATGCAAAGCTGTTCTCTTATCATAGTCCTGCACATCTGGTGAGATACCATCCCTAAGCATTTGATTCAGGCCCACTTTATCTCCCCTTGAAGCACAACTGAGAAAACTTCCAATCAGGTGCATGTCAAATTCTTGAGAATGGTTAGGCTCCATCATGAAGAATTTCAGAAGTCAATAAGCCTTGAGAAAAGCACCACAAGGAAGTGTCACTTTATTGCAATAAGCAGAAACTGACATCAATGATTAGAAACTATTATACAAAGCGATTAAGCTCTAAGGATGCATCAAATAGGTGTTCAACTGCACATGAATATAACATACTCCAGAATGCCATGACGCAACTTTTAAATGTATAACATATAGAGGTACACTTATTAGAAATCAGATTCTTCATAAGCACATCTAAAAGGATGTATGGATACCAATCCATAAGTGCTCATATACATTCAGAATCCATTCTCACATATAAATGTTAACCCATTCTCGCATATACATGCTCCTATGGAACTCCACATCCATGTAGGCCTCATCAATGACTACATGGAAAGAATCCCCATGCACATGCAGAGACAAACTCAAACACCCATGCACAACCATGCATATGCACATGGTCACAGAATGACACATGAAGCTGCAAAAGAAACACAGACACAAGCAAAGAGCATGCACATGAGTAAGTTCACCCAAAATCATGCACTGCCAGTATATGTCACATGTGTAGGCGTAATGCATAGACCATATATAAATATGCAGCTCGGTGTGAACTGAACCTAAATTCCACTTGAATGGTTGCCATAATATGCCCAATTTGACACTTGTTAGTATGTTTAAGGAATAAATTAGTAATAAACATTACTGAGAATGTGAATGAGGAAGTAAATATGGTGGATTACGAGTTAGAGATGAGATTATTGATAATGATAGCATGATATAATTCTTAAATGTTTATTTTCTTTAAAATCCTCATATAAGATGAACAATGTTAGGACAGATTGCTCCTACTGCTATATTATAGTAGGATCTCAATAAGATATAAATAAAGAATGCATGCCTTCATATAAATCTCATTGAGGTATATGTGACTCCTCAACAGGGATGTCGCTCAAACAGTAGAGTACTTGCTTCTCCTACAAGCCATATGGGTTTTGGTACCTGCCATCAACTTAATAACAATTCCTAGAAGATATAGTTTTCACTCCCCAATTGACTACAAAAGCTTATAAAATAGTGTACGAGCTTCAAAAGATATTATATGATGTGACACAAGTGGTCAAGCTTGATTTGAGAAAACAATTTTGATCACTGTGAAATGTTTAAACAGGGCAGAGCATATTACCTATGTTTGTCAAATAATACTATTGTTCAATAGTCATGCTTCTTGTCAATGTTGATGATGGAATTTTTTCTTGAGATGATGAACCAATATCTGTCAAAAAGAGAGAACTTCAATACCAGTTTCCCATCTGGTTATTATGCATTTCAAACATCCAAAAAGCCAAATCACCACTGATACTCAGCTGCCTCACATGAGCTTATCAGAAATCTACTCTCCACCAACAGTTGTTGTAAGAATGATCACTGAAGGCTTAGTCCTCATTACATTGAATTTAAGTCCCTTATGACATATGTATCCTTTCTTCCACAAATGGACATTCTTGTACAGTAAGTGAATATTTTATAACTATTATAAATATATGAGAGGTGCTGGAGGTCACTATGACCAAACGTTACCCTCTTTGTCTTCCTCTCTCAACGTCCACTTCATTCCTCATTCTCCCTCACTGAGCACTTGACCTCTTCATCTATTTTTTTTCCTTTTCCTTCTCCTTTCATTATTTACTGCAGTATTTTAACTTGATATCAGAGCAGGATGGTTTATGAGGTTTTTTTTGGAACCCTAAAGATGTGTTTGGCTGTGGGAGGATCTCCTAAAGCTGTATGACAAGAAAACCCTAAATCTGAAGAGGAAAAAAGGGGTACAAAACCCTAGATCTAAGAAAATGTATGGAATTAAAATAAAAAATAGTTTCAAGGCTGTTTCCTCGAGTTTATGATGCAGGATCAAAAACCCTAGATCAGGCTCTAAAAGTCCTATGATGTTAAAGTCTGTTGTAAGACCACTTATATGGATCAAATCATTGTTTATGAGTTGTTAAACTCAGTTTTTTTTTTTAGATCTCTTGGATGGAAGATCTCGGATCCCTGTTCAAAGTATTTTTGAGTGGATGCTTGTGTTGATCAGCTCATATCCTTCGTGTTTTTCAGGTTTGTGTTGTGCCTAATACGCCTAGTTTTGAGTGATTCAGACCACTCTTCCACCTTCACTAGTACTCCTGATGTTACCCTCCATACGGGTATCCATGGAGAAACCCTAGACTACAGATTACTACTGTTAAACTCGATGGAGAACAATATTCATAGTCACAGTCTACTAAAATGTTCATCGCTAGAAGGGGAAAGTTGCAGTATATCAGCAATACAATTATTGAACCTGAAGAAATAGATACAGTACATGAGAAGTGGAAAATTGAAAATCTTACTGTTATGTCTTAGTTGTTACACTCCATGCAGCCGTTAATTAGTGGGGGTATTTTGTTTCTTCAAACTACAAAAGAAATTTGGGACTTTACATATCAAACTTACTATCAAAGCAAGAACGTGGCACGAGTGTATCAACTGCGGCAGCAAATTTGCCATCTTCGGCAGGGGAGCAGTCTCTCGCTGAATATTTTCCATTACTTCACTGTCAAATGTTTAAACCATCCTGTAAGGAAGATGGTGAGAAATATAAAGAGCTTGTGGAACAAAATCATATTTTTTAGTTCTTGACGGGTTTGATTCTAGAGTCTGAATGTTCAAACACTCAATAGGAATACCCTTCCGTCACTTAACCAGGCGTGTTCCTTTGTTCAAATTGAAGAGCGTCAAAAAAATGGCATGCTGCCTAGTCAAGGATTTGATCGATCTATCTTATTTCAGCCACCTTTCCTCCTGGAAATGATAATGGGGGTGAGACTCAAAAATTTGGAAAAAGAGGGCCTAATCAAGGTTATAAAAGTAAGCCAAAATGTCAACAGTGTGGTAAACCTTGTCATCTAAAAAGAACTTGTTGGGGTCTGGTTGGGCGTCCAACTAAATTCAACCATCAAGGTCAATTTAATTCTCACAATGCTTTATCTACCGGGAATTCAGCTACTGCTAATAAAGATCAGCCATCACAATCTTCAAAGTCTACTTTAAAGGAGATGATACCACTCCCCAAAAAGGAGACTGAAAGCTTCCGCACATTGTTCGCATAGTTAAACGACCCATCCACTACTTCTACTTCAACCTTTACACACTTAGGTACTCATGCTTCTACCAATCTTGTCTCCCTTACTCCATTAGAAGAATCCTCGATTATTAATGTAGGAGCATCAAACCACACGACTGGTATGTCTTACCTATTTTCTTCTTATTCCTTTTGGTCTGGTAAAGACAAAGTCAAGATTGCTAATGGGTCTTTCTTATTTATTGCTGGAAAAGGAACTATGAATATTTCTCTTAAAATGCCATTGTCATCGATTCTTCATGTTCCCAACTTTAATACAAATTTAATGTCTGCCAATAATATTACAAAGGTCTATTTTGCAGTTCGACTATCTTTCCTTGTCACTGTGTCTTTCATGATTTGGATATGAGCGAGATGTTTGGCAGTGGTCATGAAGCTAGTCGTCTCTACATTCTTGGCTTAGCAACAACTACCCCTTAAGCCCTACAATCCAATTCTAACGTTAATAAAGATCGGATTGGCAATGGCATCTCTAACTTGGTCATTTGTCTTTTTGAGTCTTTAAATTTTTTGTTTCCTAAGTTGTTTATTTCTATTAGTGTGTCTAAGTTTCAATGTGAAGTCTATGAACTGTCAAAGAATTGTAAAAACTCCTATTTACCTAGAAATAATAAAAGCAAGGTTCATTTTGCTTTTAACCTAGAATTGTTCTATCATGTTTTGGTCATCAGTATTTTGGTTCTATCATGTTTTGTCATGTTTTGGTTTATCATGTTTTACCATGATTTGCGATTTACCTAGAATTGTCATGTTTTGCTATTTACCTAGAACTGGCATGTTTTGGTTATCATGTTTTGGTTCTATCATGTTTTGGTTTTATCATGTTTTGGTCATCAGTATTTTGGTTTTATCATGTTCTATCATGTTTTGGTCATCAGTATTTTGTTTCTTTTGTAGATTACTCTTGATGTATCTAGAAGAACATTATAAAAACCAAAGATGAAATTCCACATATCTTCAAGGGCGTTCATAAAATGATTCTAGCTAAATTTGATACTAAAATTAAGGTACTTCAATTTAACCAAGGTGGGGAACAATGTAATAGAGTGTTACAATCCTACTTGGAAGATCATGGGATAGAACCTCAAAATTCTTGCACTTATACACTACAACAAAATGGTTTAGCTGAAAGAAAGAATAGACATCTTTTAGAAAGAATAGACATCTTTTAGAAATGGTGCATGCTCTTCTCTTCAGCATGAATGCGCCCAAGAAATTTTCGTCCAACATATGCTTACTGCATCTTTTCTTATTACTGAATCTGTTAGACTACAAGTCTCCCATAAAATTCTCTTTCCTGATTGTCCGCTATTTAATTCTCCTCCCAAAGTCTTTAGTTGTGTTTGATTTGCTCATGTTCTAGGTCCATACAACACAAAATTGGATCCCAAATTAGTACTATGTATTTTCCTTGGTTATCCATCTCCGCAAAAGGGGTTACAATGCAATGATCCAATTCCTCAGAAGAAATTTGCCTCCATGGATGTAACTTTTTTAGTTCCCTCCTTTCTTTCCCACATCTCTCTAGGGGGAGTATAGTGTGGAACAGAGGTCCTCTGTTCCTGTTCCTGTAGAAGAGATCTTTATTCCTCTTCCTATCCCTACTGTTTCCAAATCTGGAACCCAAGATGACAGGGGAAGACATTTCATGGTATTGAAAAGAAAGAACTAAAAGTCCATATTCGGCAGAAACAGAAGGAATTGGAGACCACAAGAGCTGATAGGCATTTATGCAAATTGTATATACCTCCAATCCAAGAAATACTCACAAATCCCAATGTGATGATTCTAATCTAGCCTTTACTATCTGCAAAGGTAAATAAAGTTGCACTGCACACCATTTAGCAAT